ACACCACAATAACAAAAGGCATGTCTATTCTTACAAATTATCAGGTGTTTCCGGCGAAAGGGTAGTTTTTAGCTAAGTATTAAATATCTTAATTGAAAAAGATTAAAAAAGAGCACTGGGAAAGGAAATTTTTTTCGCGCCTAATATATTTGAGCCTCTACTGAAACCGATTGATTCAGTAGTTAATATTTATTAAGCTTAACTAAGTTTGGTTCCCAGTGAGCAACGAATTCATCATTCCAGCACTGATCTAGATATTTATAGAAACTTTTGATAACTAAATGCCTAGTGAAGAATGACTTTCGAGATCTATATACTGACTACTGCACGCTAACAGGTGTAGCGGGTATCCTATTTATTAACCTATTTTGCGCCTGTTGGCATGACATCTCGAAGAATTTTAAGTCTTATATGGTTTTTATTTTTTTCTCTCTTTAAAATAGAAATTTTCTTTTTAATTTTGGCTGTTAATGGTGACCAAAATGCAAAGCACAGTTTCATCAAAGATGCCTATTTTCTGCATGACTTCACGAATACAAAGATTCCTTGCACTTACGAATAATGTTGGCAGTTCTTAAATATGAACGGATGCAGTGGCAAATGTCGAATTAGTGGAGCATGTCGATGCTCATTCAGCAAAAAAATAAAATAAAATAAATAAATAATAATTCTCCTTCAAAAATATCTGATTGCCGAAAAAAGTGAAACATTTTTACACAATTAAAGTTACTTGTTCGTTAGCAGAAAATTCAATCCGATTCCAAAATCTTCACGTTATCTCTTAGTTCTTATGACAATCATTTTACAACCGAAACATTCTTTAATTATATCAGGTCACTCTACGAGAACTAATAGTACCCAGTACCATCTGCTGCATAGCCGAGTCATCAAAGAATAAACCACCCCCACTACGCTTTTCTGGTGAGGAGAGTGACTAGACATTGAACAGGATTAAAAACAAGACCTGTCAAATGGAGGATAAATCTGCTTGTATGGTCAATGGCATATCTAGCACAGTGGGATAGACTCGGCTCCAAATCTATGTATTCAGCCAGTGCGATGATAACACGGCATCACTGGGTGGAAGGCTTCCTAAACTGAAGCTAATGTCACATGCGGAGGGTTTCCCTGATGGATGCAACTGCCATGTGCCCATGACCAAGTTGGACGACGCCGTCCGTGGTTTGACCTGGAGAAGGATTGACTCCTTGCCTGAGACACACCATGTATAAATGAATACCTTTGCGGTTTTTCAACAAAGATATGTGAGGAGAATTGTATTGGTTTTGTCGGCTTCAGTCACATTCCCACGGCCACAACCTAGCTTCCGTGCCTTTTCTACAAATAATTTCATGGTAATTTTTCTAATGATTTTTTACCTCTATAAAATTGTAATCATTGTAAATATTCATTGGGTTTCATTTTTAAAAGTTGTTATCTTTATCCCCTCGCCAAGACAAATTGTACATATGGGGACTAGTTAGGTCTTCATAGAGACTTGAGGTATTATAGTGACTGGATTCTGGCAAGTAAGACTGTGTCATTTTGGTGTAAGGAGTACTGTGGTATATATGGGTTATTTATTGTAGCTAGTTAAGTTTAAAATAAAACAGATTGAAGACCAGCCTTCCCCATCCTCCATTTGGCCTTGAGCCACATTTTTGTATCATTCAAAATAAGTATTACTTTCCTCTGCGGTACGTAATCTTTAAGAATGAAAGTACAATACTAGATCGACGGCAAGATCTCGTCATTTTACAGTTGAAATGGCTACATGTAACCGTAAGTTCTATGTTAACCGTTTCTTCTCTCATACTTCTCGCTTGTGGAACTCTCTTCCGGCTTTCCAGTCAACTATGATCTTAAAAAATTTAAATGTAATGTCAATCGTTATCTTCTGTCTTCCTAATTCTTATTCTTTTATTGTTCTCTCTCATTAACTGTAGTTTTTCTCCTATTCTCTCACACTTAGTAACTCCTTTGCTTGAGCTGAAATGATTAAAAAGAAACAACAACAAAAAAAAAGTAGAGAGCCCAGTCTTTCTAGATATTCAACATATAACTCGTGTATGTGTGTGTGTGTTACGAGAGGGTGATGGTTCATTACTTTCCCAAGGGTATCTATGCGACAGTGAAGTGACGCCACAGTGGCGTCACTTCACTGTCGCATAGATACCCTTGGGAAAGTAATGAATCCGTTTTATAAATGTAGAAAAAAGAAGTGTAATGTGGACTTACTAGTGAACTGACACGGTCTTATATTGTGTTGCTGCTATGGTTAGGACATAAAAGGCGAAAGAAAATAGGTGTCTGTGATGCAAAGGGATTTATATTTCGTTCCTTAAGCCATACTCTCACGTGACCCATGTCTTAAATTTTGATGCGTGCATAACGTATAGTTGAGTCAAGGGAGGATAATTGAGTTTTTTCCTTTCTTCGTTGATAGTGATAATAGCAAGATTAACCGTTTCTATACAGGAAACATTCAGCATTCATTGACTGAAATAGCGTTATTGTTAGTTGAAATTTATAAAATATTATCAGTATTAACTCGTCTTCGACCAGGTCTTTCATTACTGGGAATTCTTACCGTTCATTTGGATCAGTTTAATTTTAAAGTCCACCCGAAAATCAATATTAGTAACAACAATTGATGAGTGCAACTGAGGCACATCCACAAATAGGGGGGGGGTAACAATTTGAATGGGGGATGGCCCTGAAAAGGGCCGTTCTTGCGTTCTCAATCTTGTTTCAGCCTTACGCACAGCAGCAGAAAAGCAGAAGCGTTTCCCCTTAGCCGTTGATTCCTTTGATCATCATTTTCAACCACGCGCACGGAAGCGTTCAGGTATGCTCTTCTAGAAAGCCGATGTCTACGTTGATCTTCGGACTCAGTGGCTCTGATTGAAGCATTCCGAGGAGCATTTTGAGACAGGCAAACTGAACGTTTTAAAGACAATTCGTTATCTCTTATTCGCATGGCGGACCTGGCGGCAGCGGTTTTGCGACCTAGGCAAGTTCTTTTCTTTCGTGGCATGTCTTAGGAAAGTATGAATTGTCAAATAGAATGCGTGGGCAAATACCAGAAGAGAATGTTGTAAAGCTACAAGGATCACTAAGCTTGAATAACTTTAGGAAAGGTTGAAAAAACAAAAATTGCGTAATAAAAAAGCAAGCTTACTTATTACTACGGTGAATGCAATGCAAAAACTAGCAGGACAATAAAAAATTTAATTTGGGAACGACTATAAACGACAATGAAATCAACGTCTTAAAACTGTACTAGTAGGCTTTATGCAACAGAAAAGGTAACCTCACTTGGGAGAGATTGATTCTTAGCCAAGAGAAGGAGAATGTGTAATTTGGACTCAAAACTGGCACTGAAGAATTATCTATGAAACAAAAACAATTCTTCGACATCGGATGAAAACTGCGAAAACGCATAAACAATATCCGATCACACACGCACACACACACATACATGCATACACATTTTGAGAATTATAGATATAGATTTCTTTTAAAAGACTTTTTCATGAAAATAGGGTTCTAAAGTTCACTAACTGCTATCGTTCTTTTTAGCATTGATGGGATTTTCTATTCTAACCCCCTGTTTAAGGCTGTGTGGAAAATCAACATATTAATTATATTATTTTTACTTCTACTTACATGTACTACCCATTTTAGTTGTTGTTGCTGTTGAAAGTACTCAAGTGATGTGGTTTCTGTTATTTGGTAAAGTTCTTTGTGTTTGTGTAGCGACTGTCTATAAGACCTGATAAAGGATTGTTTTATTTATTACTTAGAGGTTTCATTCGCTTCAGGTCATTGATCTCCAACAGCAAGGCCTCTGATCAGGAGGTTTTGAGGAGCGTGGAACCATCTCTTAATTTCTGGTGTTCACAAGCCCACCCTGACCCGGGGTGATAGCACCTGTTAGGGTCCCAGCTATGGGCAAAGAGCCCCAAAGAAAAAATTTATTACCACTTATGAAAAAAATATGACCAGAAATAGATTTTTACTAGCATTACTAGTATTTACTAACATTTACTAGTATTACTAGCAACACATTTCTGAAAAAGAATTACCAGCAATAAAAATTGTCAACATTAAATAACCCATTGAGGTTGATATGCCGTAAACCAAACCAAACCAAACCAAACCTAATTTCGGGTGAGATAAAATACCCGAATCCTATATTACTTGTCATAATTGTTCCGGTAATTGCTTCGCTTTATGGCCAGTAGTACTCATCTTGGGTATGACGATAAACAGCAAGGCCTCTGATCAGAAGGTTTTGAGGAGCGTGGAACCAACTCTTAATTGCTGGTGTTCTCAGGTTCACCTTGACCCGGGGTGGTAGCACCCGTTAGGGTCCCAGCTATGGGCAAATAGTTGAGCCCCAAACTGGGGTTGAAACACTATGAAAGTGTAAAAATAGGTTTGAATACCAGAAATACTTTGTAAAAAATTATTACCAGCAATACATTTTTGAAAAAAAGATGTCACTAGCAATACATTTTTTTTAAAAAAAGATATTGCCAGAAAAAAATATTACCAGAAATACATTTTTGAAAAAAAATATTACCAGCAATATAAATTTTGTCGGCATTAAATAACCCATTGAGGTCGATTGAGGTCGATATGCCATAAAACAAACCAAACCAAATCAAATCAGTGATGCAATTAAATAATATTAATGCAATTTATTTTGTAAAAATTATAAGTTGACTGAAAAAGTTATGCGTGCCTATATAAACCGTAAATTCCAATATTCGAACTCTTAAAGTCCAGAATTCCCAGTAAGTAACCGAATACGATGACAGATAAACTGAATAAGTAAAACCTGAGGGAACGACGGATGAAATGTTGTAACCAGGTGAGCTTGTTCGTTCAAACAGGAGAGTACATAATAATGATAATATATTTGCTTCATCTTTTATTTCAAAATCCTATATTATTTGAAGTTTATTTAGTAAATATCCGTCGCGTCTAAGGAAATGTTCACTAAATATCGTTCACGCACAGATCGTTACATTTTGCAGCTTTGCTGCTTTCTTCTTCATTTTTTTTTTTTTTCGTTCAAATGTTTACTTCGAAAACAAGAGGTGGATGCAGCCCCTCAAATCGAGCTAAGAAAGACACGGGAAGACGGCTGTTCCTGTCCAAACCGTCGATAGTACGTATCCCATCTGCAGCTGTATCTACGCGTCCGACTTCGGCCGCAGAAGTCACATACGTGCTCACAACTGTTGATTGCTCACCTGTCTTAGATTTCGGAAGACTACCATATATATATATATATATATATATATATATATATATATATATATATATGGACTCTCCTGGCGTGTTCGACGTATGAGGGTCAAGCAGCTGAGCTCCTAGGAACCGACTGCCAGACACCTGATCATATGATCTGATTATACTGGTGAAGGCTTTGTGCAGAACCAACCACTCATTTTGAAGGGCCATATACAAAAACCTGGTGAACTATGTGTCACAAGGTCCCCAAACGACCCTCCCCAGGTTTTGAATTCAGGTTTTTGAATATATATATATATATATATATATATATATATATATATATGGAGAGAGAGAGAGAGAGAGAGATACAATGATTATCAAATAACCACGATATTCTACACGTACGCACATGAACACGTCCACGTCTCGTCTCGGGAAACAGATACCCGACCCCGTTTTATACGTTGTCTACGGGGAAAATTTGGTCGAGTCTATGGGCTCGGATACCCCACATTAAATTCGGCCTTGTACCACATCTGACCGCGTGGGGCTGTTGGTAGATATCCTGCAGTTGGAGATTCATTGTGGAATTCACTTGACTCACTTCTAGCAGTTGACTACTTCTTCTACGCGCCGCTGGCGAATCTTATATGTGTTGTTCGTGCCTTAAGTATTATCGTTGATTACGAACCTTCGTGCAATTATTCTATTCAGTAACCTTCCTTGAGTTACAACCATTTTGGCGACGAGGATGAGATGAAAGTGTTATTTAGACGACAATTTAGCCATCAGACAGTCTATCTATCTATCTATCTATCTATATATATATATATATATATATATATATATATATATATATATATATATAATTATATATATATATATATATATATATATATGAATTATTCACACAAAAACTAATGCAAAGGTTAATGATTTAAATGGCGAGACATCCATCATCGCAAACAATTCAAATAATATACAAAAAACTTTATATGAACGCACAACCTTTAAAAATTTAAAATCAAACTCAGCGTTGCTACTGCGCGCTCCAAAACAATAACTCATTTTCAATAGCATTTTTCGGATACAACAATACATATATTTTCGTTGTCCTCTTATTACTAAGAGAAAAAAACAAGAACAACATCTATTCTATACCTGAAGATGTCTGTAGGAACAGACGAAAGCTTGTAGTAAAATAAGAACTAATACGGCAGAAATTTATATAAACAAGGATCATTTCATTCATAACGGATACGGAGGTTTTTGTATATTATTTGAATTGTTTGCGATGATGGATGTCTCGCCATTTAAAACATTAACCTTTGCATTAGTTTTTGCGTGAATAATTCATGTATTTGTAAATTGATTGCACGTTTATCGTAATATATATATATATATATATATATATATATATATATATATATATATATATATATATATGTCACGCATTGTTGACAATGTAAATATTTTTCTTACTCATTTGGGAACAATATTTAAAGGAAAAAAACACATCAAAATTAACAAAGTGCCTAAAGTCATTATATATATATATATATATATATATATATATATATATATATATATATATATGTGTGTGTGTATATATATATATATAATGACTTTAGGCACTTTGTTAATTTCGATGATGTTTTTTTTTATATATATATATATATATATATATATATATATATATATATATATATATATATATATATATATATATATAGGGTGTCCGTAAATTTCATTACAGTTAAAAAATATATTATAAAAGCAAATGAACAGACAATTATATGGAAACTGAAGAAGTAAATATTGATTTTTTTATCTAATTTACTACACTTCTATATAAGCATCAAGTATCATCTTCGTGTGCTTCATGCAGACGAACATCAAGACGGTACTCGATTTCTTGCCATGTTCGCTCTAGCATAGCCTCATCAATGGTAGTAATGACATCAGTGATCCTTTCCTTTAGATCAGTGATGTCCCGTATCTTTGTACCATAACCTCATAGAAAGAAGCCCCGGGAATGATATCTGGTGAACGAGGTGGCCAGGAAATTGAGCCATCCCTTCCAATCCACCTGTCTGGAAATGTTAGGGGTTCATTTAACAGTATCTGTTTCATCAACAGGATACCTGAAATACACAAATGTGATTAGAATTATTAATAACGACTGAGTACATAAAACAAATCTAATTAATATATCTCATCAGTTACCTTTGTCATATATTTTTTAAATTGTTAATTGTTATGTGTGTATGTGTGTTTAAATTAGGATATAGAAATCCCGACAAATCTTTTACATTTTGACAAATGTAAACATTTCATGATATAGATTTGATTGAAAAGAGATTTGATAATGCATTTCGCCATTCAAGGTTTCATCAGATCCGAAAACGAAAGAATGAAATGTGTGTATGTGTATTTGTGCGCATGCTTAAATAATGAATCTTAGAACTTTTCCTAAGCTGGTGTTTCTCGTGATTAAAGAAGAAAGAAAATGACTGACTTTTAAAAAAATCGTTAGTATTTATTCAGGTATCTTTTTTTTTTTTTTACAACTCTTTGTTTGAGTTGAAAGTTGTTAATGTAATTTCCTAGCTTTTTTTTGTGTCGGATTAAAGGCAAATCCTCTTCTCATTATCAGAATGGCACGACAGAAAGAAATTGATTTGGCCTATTCTGAAATGAATCCAAGGCAAATCCTCACAATCCTTCAGGTTTTGAATTCAGAGTTTTCTTCGATGTCTGGTTGCCACCCCAAGGCAAAAAGAGTCCAGTCTGCCTTGCTATTTATTCTATATTTGGATTAAATGTGATTCATGCCTTTTCCAGTGACATTAACTCAAAGCGGACGAAACAGACTCGACCGGGGATTGAACTTGGCATGTTAATTTCACTACCCGCGCTGATAATTTGCACCTCCGTAAATATTAGATTCCATTATTTCGTATTACATTTTGTGCTAAATCGCAAAAGCCCTTCAAGTCGTGATTTTTCGTTTTACAGTGTATAAAACGACCCACAGAATTTCCAATTAAAATATAGATTTTAGCCAATGCCCACTGGATAAGATGGCACCAAATCTTTGTCAGGCGATGTAAACAACGCATACAGCCAACTGAATTGACCCTTGATGGTTGTTTACACTTTCTCTCTCTTTAAATGTCGACAGGCTTACGGCTATATCACATTGGAACAGTGTACGATCACCGAAGTTAAGAAACGCGGAGCTTGGTCTGTACCTAGTTGAGTGACCGTATGGGAATATCATGTGCTGTAAGATTGGATGTGGGGGTGGTGTAATAGATAACAGCTCGGAACTGGAGAGCTGAGTTCTAGTCGAGTTTGTTATAGTCACTTACTCGCAAATACTCTTGGGGGGAAAAGGTATGTCTACCTCTCCTCCTCCCCAACTTATGGGTTAATTAGTAGGAGTTGTATTAATAAAATCATTATTATTTACTCCCCAAAATTATTACAATCAAAAAATATATTTCTGGCTTAAATAACCTACAAAAGGTTGATAGACTGTAAAAAAAAACAAATCAATCAATCGATGGCAGAATTCAGAGTTGAAAGGCTGTCTTGATTGAATTTTATTCTAATTCAGTGATCTCTACGTTTGGATGAAAATTTTAGCATCTATTACAAATTTTCTTTATTGTTGTTTACTTAGTTTGGCACAAGGCTATAAGTATTATTTAAAAAACATTCTTACGATCTAAAAATATTTTCTGGTTTTACATAATCTGAAAAAGGTTGATAAGCCGTTAAAAACAAATCAGTCAAAAATCGTTGATAATGCGAGATATGTCTTTTCTGTTCCATATCTTTGTAATGGGGTTGGTATAAATGATAGATTAAAATGTATAAAACGTACAATGATAAAAACGATAAAAACTTGAGACACGTGTTGACATAAATAACAAGAATTTTTATTTTCTTTTTGTGACATGAATTGCAGATTATTAGTATGATGTGTGTAAAATGTTCTCAGTATCATTTTTGTGTAAAAGTCAGTGCTTACTTTGCTTGGTTCCGAGAATTTCGTTTGTAAGGATGGCGTTTGAAATCGTCTGTTTTCGATCTTCACAGAGCGCTGGCTATACGTGAGTGTTCCTGTACTGCTACTTCTCTACTCATCATTGACTACTGCTACAGGTACCTAGTCTACTCGACTCGACACTACTGACACTCTTGTAGTGGAAGGGTAGTTTTTATACTGATGAGGGTAGAATGATGAAATATTCTTCTTTTCTATCATCACTGATGGCAAGGTTATTTTTAGAATTGCACTCAGCCTTGTGTCTCTTTCTCTATCTCAATCTCAATCTTTCATTCCCTCTTGAGACGTATTTTTGTTCTATCACACCCAGATTTGTGCCTCTCTCTCTCTCTTCTCATGAATTTTGTGTTCTATTGCATTTTGTCTCTTTCTATCTCAATCTCAATCTTTCATTCCCTCTTGAGACGTATTTTGTTCTATCACACCCAGATTTGTGCCTTTTCTCTCTCTCTCTCTCTTTTGTCATGAATTTTGTGTTCTTGCACTCAGCCTTGTGTCTCTTTCTCTATCTCAATCTCAATCTTTCATTCCCTCTTGAGACGTATTTTGTTCTATCACACCCAGAATTGCACTCAGCCTTGTGTCTCTTTCTCTATCTCAATCTCAACCTTTCATTCCTCTTGAGACGTATTTTGTTCTATCACACCCAGATTTCTTTTTCTTCTCTCTCTCTCTCTCTTTTTTTGTCATGAATTTTGTGTTCTATTGCACTCAGCCTTGTGTCTCTTTCTCTATCTCAATCTCAATCTTTCATTCCCTCTTGAGACGTATTTTTGTTCTATCACACCCAGATTTGTGCCCTCTCGCTCTCTCTCTCTCTCTCTCTTTTTGTCATGAATTTTGTGTTCCTATTGCACTCAGCCTTGTGTCTCTTTTCTATCTCAATCTCAATCTTTCATTCCCTCTTGAGACGTATTTTGTTCTATCACACCCAGATTTGTGCCTTTCTTTCTCTCTCTCTCTTTTGTCATGAATTTTGTGTTCTATTGCACTCAGCCTTGTGTCTCTTTTCTATCTCAATCTCAATCTTTCATTTCCTCTTGTGACGTATTTTTTTCACACACCCAGATTTGTGCCTCTCTCTCTCTCTCTCTCTCTCTCTCTTTTGTCATAATTTTTGTGTTCTATTGCACTCAGGGTTGTGTCTCTTTCTCTATCTCAATCTCAATCTTTCATTCCTCTTGAGACGTATTTTTTGTTCTATCACACCCAGATTTGTGCCTTTCTCTCTCTCTCTCTCTCTCTCTCTCTTTTGATGAATTTTTGTGTTCTATTGCACTCAGCCTTGTGTCTCTTTCTCTATCTCAATCTCAATCTTTCATTCCCTCTTGAGACGTATTTTTGTTCTATCACACCCAATTTTGCCTCTCTCTCTCTCTCTCTCTCTCTTTTGTCATGAATTTTGTGTTCTATTGCACTCAGCCTTGTGTCTCTTTCTCTATCTCAATCTCAATCTTTCATTCCCTCTTGAGACGTATTTTTGTTCTATCACACCCAGATTTGTGCCTTTCTCTCTCTCTCTCTCTCTCTCTTTTGTCATGAATTTTGTGTTCTATTGCACTCAGCCTTGTGTCTCCTTTCTCTATCTCAATCTCAATCTTTCATTCCCTCTTGAGACGTATTTTTGTTCTATCACACCCAGATTTGTCTTTCTCTTCTCTCTCTCTCTCTCTTTTGTCACTGCGAATTTTGTGTTCTATTGCACTCAGCCTTGTGTCTCTTTTCTATCTCAATCTCAATCTTTCATTCCCTCTTGAGACGTATTTTTGTTCTATCACACCCAGATTTGTGCCTTTCTCTCTCTCTCTCTCTCTTTTGTCATGAATTTTTGTGTTCTATTGCACTCAGCCTTGTGTCTCTTTCTCTATCTCAATCTCAATCTTTTCATTCCCTCTTGAGACGTATTTTTGTTCTATCACACCCAGATTTGTGCCTTTCTCTCTCTCTCTCTCTTTTTGTCATGAATTTTGTGTTCTATTGCACTCAGCCTTTGTCTCTTTCTCTATCTCAATCTCAATCTTTCATTCCCTCTTGAGACGTATTTTTGTTCTATCACACCCAGATTTGTGCCTTTCTCTCTCTCTCTCTCTCTCTCTCTTTTGTCATGAATTTTGTGTTCTATTGCACTCAGCCTTGTGTCTCTTTCTCTATCTCAATCTCAATCTTTCATTCCCTCTTGAGACGTATTTTTGTTCTATCACACCCAGATTTGTGCCTTTTCTCTCTCTCTCTCTCTCTCTTTTTGTCATGAATTTTGTGTTCTATTGCACTCAGCCTTGTGTCTCTTTCTCTATCTCAATCTCAATCTTTCATTCCCTCTTGAGACGTATTTTTGTTCTATCACACCCAGATTTTGCCTTTCTCTCTCTCTCTCTCTTTTGTCATGAATTTTGTGTTCTATTGCACTCAGCCTTGTGTCTCTTTCTCTATCTCAATCTCAATCTTTCATTCCCTCTTGTGACGTATTTTTGTTCTATCACACCCAGATTTGTGCCTTTTCTCTCTCTCTCTCTCTCTTTTTGTCATGAATTTTGTGTTCTATTGCACTCAGATTTGTGTCTCTTTCTCTATCTCAATCTCAATCTTTCATTCCCTCTTGAGACGTATTTTTGTTCTATCACACCCAGATTTGTGCCTTTCTCTCTCTCTCTCTCTCTCTCTCTCTTTTGTCATGAATTTTGTGTTCTATTGCACTCAGCCTTGTGTCTCTTTCTCTATCTCAATCTCAATCTTTCATTCCCTCTTGAGACGTATTTTTGTTCTATCACACCCAGATTTGTGCCTTTCTCTCTCTCTCTCTCTCTCTCTTTTGTCATGAATTTTGTGTTCTATTGCACTCAGCCTTGTGTCTCTTTCTCTATCTCAATCTCAATCTTTCATTCCTTTGAGACGTATTTTGTTCTATCACACCCAGATTTGTGCCTTTTTCTCTCTCTCTCTCTCTCTTTTGTCATGAATTTTGTGTTCTATTGCACTCAGCCTTGTGTCTCTTTCTCTATCTCAATCTCAATCTTTCATTCCCTCTTGAGACGTATTTTTGTTCTATCACACCCAGATTTGTGCCTTTCTCTCTCTCTCTCTCTCTCTTTTGTCATGAATTTTGTGTTCTATTGCACTCAGCCTTGTGTCTCTTTCTATCTCAATCTCAATCTTTCATTCCCTCTTGAGACGTATTTTTGTTCAATTTGTGCCTTTCTCTCTCTCTTTCTCTTCCTCTTTTTGTCAGAATTTTGTGTTCTATTGCACTCAGCCTTGTGTCTCTTTCTCTATCTCAATCTCAATCTTTCATTCCCTCTTGAGACGTATTTTTGTTCTATCACACCCAGATTTGTGCCTTTTCTCTCTCTCTCTCTCTCTCTCTCTTTTTGTCATGAATTTTGTGTTCTATTGCACTCAGCCTTGTGTCTCTTTCTCTATCTCAATCTCAATCTTTCATTCCCTCTTGAGACGTATTTTGTTCTATCACACCCAGATTTGTGCCTTCTCTCTCTCTCTCTCTCTCTCTCTCTTTTGTCATGAATTTTGTGTTCTATTGCACTCAGCCTTGTGTCTCTTTCTCTATCTCAATCTCAATCTTTCATTCCCTCTTGAGACGTATTTTTGTTCTATCACACCCAGATTTGTGCCTTTCTCTCTCTCTCTCTCTCTCTCTCTCTCTCTTTTGTCATGAATTTTGTGTTCTATTGCACTCAGCCTTGTGTCTCTTTCTCTATCTCAATCTCAATCTTTCATTCCCTCTTGAGACGTATTTTTGTTCTATCACACCCAGATCTTTCTCTCTCTCTCTCTTTTGTCATGAATTTTGTGTTCTATTGCACTTTTGTCTCTTTTCTATCTCAATCTCAATCTTTCATTCCCTCTTGAGACGTATTTTTGTTCTATCACACCCAGATTTGTGCCTTTCTCTCTCTCTCTCTCTCTCTCTCTCTCTTTTGTCATGAATTTTGTGTTCTATTGCACTCAGCCTTGTGTCTCTTTCTCTATCTCAATCTCAATCTTTCATTCCTCTTGAGACGTATTTTGTTCTATCACACCCAGATTTGTGACCTTTTTCTCTCTCTCTCTCTCTCTCTCTTTTGTCATGAATTTTGTGTTCTATTGCACTCAGCCTTGTGTCTCTTTCTCTATCTCAATCTCAATCTTTCATTCCCCTCTTGAGACGTATTTTTGTTCTATCACACCCAGATTTGTGCCTTTCTCTCTCTCTCTCTCTCTCTCTTTTGTCATGAATTTTGTGTTCTATTGCACTCAGCCTTGTGTCTCTTTCTCTATCTCAATCTCAATCTTTCATTCCCTCTTGAGACGTATTTTTGTTCTATCACACCCAGATTTGTGCCTTTCTCTCTCTCTCTCTCTCTCTCTCTTTTTGTCATGAATTTTGTGTTCTATTACTCAGTCCTTGTGTCTCTTTCTCTATCTCAATCTCAATCTTTCATTCCCCTCTTGAGACGTATTTTTGTTCTATCACACCCAGATTTGTGCCTTTCTCTCTCTCTCTCTCTCTCTCTCTTTTGTCATGAATTTTGTCTTCTATTGCACTCAGCCTTGTGTCTCTTTCTCTATCTCAATCTCAATTTCATTCCCTCTTGAGACGTATTTTTGTTCTATCACACCCAGATTTGTGCCTTTCTCTCTCTCTCTCTCTCTTTTGTCATGAATTTTGTGTTCTATTGCACTCAGCCTTGTGTCTCTTTTTCTATCTCAATCTCAATCTTTCATTCCCTCTTGAGACGTATTTTTGTTCTATCACACCCAGATTTGTTCCTTCTTATATTTTTCTCTCTCTCTCTCTCTCTCTCTCTCTCTCTCTTTTGTCATGAATTTTGTGTTCTATTGCACTCAGCCTTGTGTCTCTTTCTCTATCTCAATCTCAATCTTTCATTCCCTCTTTGAGACGTATTTTTGTTCTATCACACCCAGATTTGTGCCTTTTCTCTCTCTCTCTCTCTCTCTCTTTTGTCATGAATTTTGTGTTCTATTGCACTCAGCCTTGTGTCTCTTTCTCTATCTCAATCTCAATCTTTCATTCCCTCTTGAGACGTATTTTTGTTCTATCACACCCAGATTTGTGCCTTTCTCTCTCTCTCTCTCTTTTGTCATGAATTTTGTGTTCTATTGCACTCAGCTTTGTGTCTCTTTCTCTATCTCAATCTCAATCTTTCATTCCCTCTTGAGACGTATTTTTGTTCTATCACACCCAGATTTGTGCCTTTCTCTCTCTCTCTCTCTCTCTCTCTCTCTCTCTCTCTTTTGTCATGAATTTTGTGTTCTATTGCACTCAGCCTTGTGTCTCTTTCTCTATCTCAATCTCAATCTTTCATTCCCTCTTGAGACGTATTTTGTTCTATCACACCCAGATTTGTGCCTTTCTCTCTCTCTCTCTCTCTCTCTTTTGTCATGAATTTTGTGTTCTATTGCACTCAGCCTTGTGTCTCTTTCTCTATCTCAATCTCAATCTTTCATTCCCTCTTGAGACGTATTTTTTGTTCTATCCACACCCAGATTTGTGCCTTTTCTCTCTCTCTCTCTCTCTCTCTTTTGTCATGAATTTTGTGTTCTATTGCACTCAGCCTTGTGTCTCTTTCTCTATCTCAATCTCAATCTTTCATTCCCTCTTGAGACGTATTTTGTTCTATCACACCCAGATTTGTGCCTTTTCTCTCTCTCTCTCTTTTGTCATGAATTTTGTGTTCTATTGCAGTCAGCCTTGTGTCTCTTTCTCTATCTCAATCTCAATCTTTCATTCCCTCTTGAGACGTATTTTTGTTCTATCACACCCAGATTTGTGCCTTTCTCTCTCTCTCTCTCTCTCTCTTTCTCTCTCTCTCTCTCTCTCTCTCTCTCTACTCCCTTGTCATGAACGCTGTGCTGAGTGCATTCAACTCAACTTCTATGTTGATCCATCAGTTTGTTCAAAATCTAATGATGCAAAAAGCATTTATCACTGCAAATATTTATTTGTCAACATATTTTCTTTCTTTGTCATTTCATTTAATCCAGTGGTGAATAATAATCACATAGATCAAACATCACACAATGAAAATTTTTTTATCAAAATTCTACTAGTAAATGTCAGATCAAGAACTGATTGATCCGCCCTCAAGTGTTCGTAGGACTATGTACTGTACAGGAAAAAAGTTTTTTTTTTTAAAAAAAGAACACCTTAAAATGAGATAGGTTTGTATTTTTTTAAAGTAAAAGATTTTCTGATATCAACGAACACCCGTTGCCACTTTTGTAATGTTAACGAATACTCGTTGTCACTTTCGTAATGCTCTTTGTAGTAGAGACTTTGTAATCGCAGATACAACTATACTAACGTCGTTGAACAATACTGGTGTCAGACGCCCTCAAATAACACTCGCACTAATAGTACTTGCTCGATAATACTCGCTTCGTGGTGGTTTTATTGACGGAAACAAAATATGATACTGTTGCATGATAATTTTTTTATAGTTCAGTGCTTATTTTTTATTAAAATAAAAGTAAATAAACTGTAGTTACTGAAATTGTAATTTTTAATTAAAAAAATACAAATTTTAAGTTGTTTTTTTTGTTTTTTTAAATAAATACAGGGTAGCTCCACACTTTTTGCATGTGGTTTATGCATGTGACAATCTTCCAGCTACACTTTTCATGGGAATTAAATTCTATTCAAATACGGACATGGCCTTTAAGGATGTAGTATGTTTATATTTTAAGAAAAATGGATGGAAAGGGGGGAATACACAGAATCAGAGAGGAGCAGCTGAAATTTCTAAGACACATAATGAAAAAAAGAAGGCTTGGTGAATTTGACACTCACGGGACATAGTGAAGGCAAGTGGGGTAGGGGAAAACAGCGAGTAATCTGTTTAACGATCTGTGTAAGTGGATGGCAGAACAAGGGGGATAGCAAAAATACCGACATTGGTAAGAGCTATAAGGGATAGGAAGTTGTGGAGAACCATGATCTTCCACGTCCTCAAGGGATATGGCACATAGAAGTATGTGCATTGATAAGAGAAGAACCGGTGAGATGTTTTAAGCTGCTTTAAGACGACGTCATCTATATTTTGGGGTGAATTTTAAAGTTAAACATACAAATGAACCGAGTTCCCGGTTTCGGGTCGATGTCAGATCGTTAGTGGGGCATGTGTTGCATTTGTTCACATAAATTTCAAAGTGTCAGTGACAAAGAGATTTTATGAGAAAATTACATTTAACTTACTTCAGCCAACCTACAGGAAAAAAAGAAAAAGATCTCAATTTAGAACGAATGTAACACCAGCGCGTATATATCAATTGAGGGACACAAGAAATAGAATAGTTGACAACGACGCAAATACAAGAAACGGAGAAGGGAGTTCAAATAACTTTTGTGAGTGTTGATATTAATTTCCTGTTAGTGTCCTTGGGGTAGGAATGATGTGAACAATCTCTGCATTTTGTCTTATGTCTCATAACCTGACCATGACCCTATCACAGAAACACCCAAGTACAGCAAGTAAATAGGTAGGGTGTAAGAACGTCTCTGAGAAAGTTCTCTTCAATTGACCGAAAAGAAACACAATCGTCAATACTGAAATGTCATAACCGAAGTGACTGAGACAAATAAATGCATCACAAATTCTATCTGAAAATCTTCTAATTAATTTTAAGTCTGCATTTATATTTGATTTTGTTTAACATTTAAGACACGATTTATATCTATCTATCTATCTATCTATCTATCTATCTATCTATCTATCTATCTCAGTATTTTTAGAATTATCTATTTTAGTCTTTTCATATTTATCTATTTCAGTCTATTCGGATCTATCTATCTATCTATCTATCTATCTATCTATCTAAAGCCTTTTATGATCTCACTATTATTAAGGTATTTCTAGCCTTTCAGATCTATCTCAGCATTTTCAGATCTATCTATCTAAAGCCTTTTATGATCTCACTATTTTTAAACTATTTCTAGCTTTTCAGATCTATCTCAGCCTTTTCAGATCTATCTATGTATCTATCTCAGTATTTTTAGAATTATCTATTTTAGTCTTTTCATATTTATCTATTTCAGTCTATTCGGATCTATCTATCTATCTATCTATCTATCTATCTATCTATCTATCTATCTATCTATCTATCTTAGCCTGTTAGTATCTAATTTGGTTTTTATCTATCTATGCACTTAAACTGCATTCA